GGGGGGGGGATGGGGTGTTGCACAGCGCGTGTTGTGTAAAGCCGCACGTTCTACCAATATTCAAGTAGGTTCGTCCAGGCTGCAGGTAGGCTGAACAGTGGTGTACAACTAAATCCCACGGACAAGCCTCGAGATGCGGGGTCAAGTGGTTGGAGGGCAATACCGCACTAATGTCACGAAAATCACGCCCCGCACAACCCTCGAAACGATCGACCGTTGGCGATCGGTCCTGTGGGAAAAGTGTTCCGCCCTCCCGAGGACCCGTGGTCATTAGACAATGGCATTTTGAACATGAGTACCCGGAATGTCGACCGCCCTAACCAGACCCTTGCCAGGTTCGCGTCCTTCACCCTGGAAGACTGGATGGATGAGGTCTGCGACCCGATCATCCAGGACCTCCGGGGGAGCCAGAGCTACCGCGCCTCCGGCCTCGACGCGCGGCACCGCTTCGGCCGGGAGGAGAGCGTTCCTCCTCTCAAGAGGTGTGTGTGCTCCACTAGTGTCGTGTCGGGGCGAGGCCCCCAGGCTTCCTTATGGTTCCACAGCTGTGAAAGAGGCTCGCCGCTAGACAACGAAACTGAAAATTGGGTGCCTATCCCACCACTTTGGGGGCGCACCTCCCCTCCCTACCCTCCCTCGCAGGACCCGTTTTACCCTCCTCGATACCGACCCCATGGGTATATGCGTACACCGGCGAACCTCGGTCCCGGGAGTGTCCAGGTTTCGGTGCCCAAAGCTAACGTTGAAACCTCCTCCTCGAAAAAACAACAATTTTTGTCCTCGAACGATATCACAAAAACAGGTACATCAGCGCCGAGCTCTACCCGGCGTCCACCGCCTTGCTCCGCGACGCTCTCCCGGCGAGGGTCCGGCGGCGGGCGTTCGTCAACACGGCGGCGGCGATGCGGGGAGAGGCCGAGGACCCGTTCTGCAGCGTTCTCGGAAACAACGAAAGGCTCGCCGTCGAGGGCGTGGGGGGTGGATTTGGCAAGGTGTGTCCAGCGGGCATCTAAGAAATTCGAAACGTGTATTCGGTGTCTTGTTCCGCCTAACCTTTCGTGGCCCCGTCTCTGGGGGCAAGCAGTGCACAAAGTTGTTGCCGAGCATTTGCATTTTTTTACCCATCTTGCGGTAGCTGTTGTGCTCACCGACCCCTCTTCCAAGGTGTTGGCCCGCTATACGTTGCGACAACGCTTTGCCCAGAGCTGGGACATGGGAGTTCTTCCGTAGACCTTAGACTCAAAAGACGCCGCCTGACGATTCAAAACAGAGACAAAAGCAGCTTTTCAACCATAGGACCAATTCAAGGGCTCAGGGAGCCGTGAGCCGAGGCAATCGTGCCTCCACCGAGCCGTTCCTTTTGTTGCGAAATGGTTTTCACGTACAGCACATCAGACGAAATTTAATTATTATTTTCGTGGCACGAACGAACAGAGGTCCCCGCCCGTTCTTAGCCTTCACACCTGGCTTCATGTAGAAGAAGGAGGCCCGCGGAGGGGCCTTCTGGCTTGCTATGTACATGTAGACCAGAGTCTGCCGAGGGAAGTTCGAACAATCCTAGGAAGCCGCCAGCGACCCCTCTGAAGCATCACAGCGCACCACGAATTCAGCTCTCGTGAGTTTTGGCGTCCTCTTCCCAGAACGGAAAGGTAAGGGTCCAATTCAACCACACGAACGACCCTTGTGCCTGAACACCAACCAACGTCGTCGTCATCGTCGTCTGTACTCCCGACGTAAAATTTCCAGGGTATCGGCGATGACACCCGCAACAATTTCGCTTCCGTCGTTGCGAGGCGGCTCGCGGAGCACGGGAGGGCCCACAATAACGCCGCTACCGGCACCTCCCGCACCGATGTTGCTGCCACAAGTGCCCTTGTTGGTGGTGATCGAGGCGGTCCTGGTCGTAGTCGGCGTGGGCCCGCCGCTGCCACCGGAGGAAGAGGAGCCGCTGCCGACGTCGCCGTCCGGGGGGCGTCTCATGCCGTTTCGATCTACCGCGACAGCAGTGACAGCGAGAGTGACGGCGGGGTGATGGAAGTGACCGCTCCTCCTGGTGCCTCCGCTATTGCTGATACTGCCTCCGCTGCAGTTGCTGCTGATGCTACCGCTGCTGCCGCAGCAGCAGGTCGAGGGGAGAGATCGGAGCCGCGCCGATCGTTGGCGCTGAGAGTCGACCTCGATGCCGTTCGCGCCGCCCGAAAGGTCCCGAAACACGCCATCTGGACGGGAGGAGGCGAGGGGAACACGCCGTCAGGTTTTGAAGAAAGCAGCAGTAGTAGTGACCACAGCAGCAGTAGCGGCGGGTGCCGGTCTGGCGAGGAGGACGATGACGAAGACTACTACGCCGGGGACAGCGATTCCTGTAGCCCCAGAAGCTCCTCGCCCCCTTCCATGTTTCGACCCCTTTCGCGGCCGACCGGTGGCGCGCCGGACGTGGCGGGCTTCGCCCGGCTCCGCGAGCACCACACGAGGCAGCGGCCCTCCACCACCGTCGCGCTTGCCCTCAATACCGACACCAAGGGCCAACGCCACCCGGCTAAATCCTTCAAGGCGGCTGCTGGACGAGGTTCTGCTGTCGGTGGCAGCGTAGTTGGTTACGGGTGGCAAGGCGCCAGTCCAAGGCGGGGGGCGCCGGGGTCGGCTAGGCCGGCGGTCGAGGCGGCGGCGGCGGTGGTAGCGGCGGAGGCGAAAAAGATCGCTGAACCCGAGCGGGCAACAACGGCCTCAAGGGGCAGGGTCAGGGTGACGGCCACCAGGCGGATTCCGGCACCGAGGCCGGCAGCGCGACTGGCACGAAAACATGGTGTGATGGCTGGGCTGTCACCGCCGCCACCATCGCAGGCGGGGTCGATGCCGACTCCCGCGGCGAAATCGGAAACGTCGGAGGCGGTCTCGGCATCGGCGGCGGCGGCGCCGAAAGCCACGGTGGCAGCTGCGGCCGTAGCAGCAGCAGCGGCGGCGGCGGCGGCGGCGGTGACAACGGTAGCGATGCCACGAGAGTTCTCTCCCGGTGACGTCTGCGGCAGCGGCACGAAGGCGGCGGAACCGTCGGCGGCTGCGGCGGCGGGAGAAAAGCGATACGCTGATGCCTGTTGCGGCACAGAAGCAGGCTTCACGACCGCGGCGGTGGCGGAGAGCGCGACGGAGTCGAAGCCGGAGTACACGCCAGAGAGTGACGAAGCGACGGCGACAAGTTCGGGAGAGGGGAGCCGCGAACAGGATCTGCAAGCGGGCACACTCCGCAGCGGTGACTTGGACCGAAGGCACGCGTGCTACAAGCACGGGGCTGCCGTGCTGGGCAAGGATGGCGTTGGCCCAGGGCCACAGAGAAAAGGGCGAGGAGACGAGAGAAGAAGCGGAGAGCAACAAGCAACACGGAGCAAGCGCGTGTTCTTCGCCAGCAGCTCCTCTGGCGACTCGAGCGCCAGCACCAGTGACAAAGGCACCGGCAGCTTGTATCATCAAGGCGATGGTGGTGGTGGTGGTGGTGAATTTGACCGTCATTCGACTAGACCTGCGGTGGTGCCAGCACCAGCACCAGCAGAACCGATGAACGTGCCGGCAGCAGGAGCGGAAAGGGGCCGTCTCCTGTACGAGCAAGTCATCAGGATGGGCGGAGCTGCCCAGCCGAAAATGAGCCCACTCCGCCCACTGCCCAAACGCCGCCCGCGGGTGGTATACGAAAGCCTGTGGTAAATGGGAACCCCCCCTCCCCCGCGCTCCTCCTCCTCCTCCTCCTCCTCCTCCTACTCCTACTTGACAGTAGTACCGGAATGCCTCGCTCGCGGCAACAGTCGGGCAGAGGCTGCGTCGGGCCATGATGTGATTTATCCTCTCTGGGAATAGTCTACATTCATGCCGAGCCCTTGGGCGCAAGGCACGAAACATGCGATAGTGAGAGATGGGGAGAATTGTCTTGCCTGGGTGGATTTGTTTTCTTCGTGCCAGAACTCCAAGCAGAGTGTTATGCCAAATTCCTCCACGACCTTGGCCGGCCTCTGAACAAGCAGGTCCGAGGTAGGGTGATTAGAGAGGCTTGTAGCACTGGCAGGGGGCTCGTTGGGTGGGGGTTGTTCATCCGATTTGTGTGAAACGGCCCTGATCGCGACTGTTGTCGGAGGCTTTGTGGAGAGTGTGGGGGTGGGCCATGCTTGCCTTTGAGGGTTTGCATGCCTCGATCAGATACAGGCTTGTGTCTGGTCAAGGACAGAAAAAGGGGTTGTAGGCTAGGACTTCACGGGTGCTCTTCACCTCGTTCTGGTTTGCTGTTGGTTGCGAGCGTGGGCCTCAAAAAAGGGCGTTGGGGGTCTGGAGGGCTAGGCTTGAATTTGAAACGGTTGGATAACCATATTAGGTTATGTTTAGATTTGTTGTACTCGTAATCTCATGTCCCTGCTAAAGTTTATTGGTAGTGTAGGAGATACTATTACTTTGCCGTCTTGGTGATCATTGACCCCGCATTCATTTGAAACGGATCCCTTGATGTACCCTTAACAGATAAAGATTTCCTGCCCCGTTGTGTACAAAGAAAGGAGAGAGGGGATGCAGGAGTAGTCTTGCTTGGTTTTTCGCGGAAGAGGGGGCGGTCGTCCTGCCCAGTAAACATGTCGTTGTCATGTCAGCCCTTAAAGGAAAGGGTGATGAATCGTCTCGTCCTCCCGACGAACGAACACAACATGAATAACTGTGGACATTTGGTGAAAGAAACTGCGTTCTCACTCCTTTTGTTTTCTTCACCAAGGTGTGGGCCGGGAGTGTAGCAGGAGGAGGAAGAAGGCATGCGTAGGCGTAGCAGTGCTTGTTGTTCGTTGGAGTCTCCGGTATAACAGGGATGCTGAGTCTATGGTTTGGGCAGGAGTAGACAATCCAGCAGCAGCTGCACCATAGCTGCGCAATTCATCTTTATTGCGGGCCTCAAAGTCGGGCTTCAGTGCTGTCTGTGTTTACAACGGGAAGAGTTATGACGTTATGGCAGCTTGAAGAGGATTATCTCCGTCAGGTTTCCAGGGAAGGGCGGCAGATTCCGGTAATAAAGAATGGCGTAGAGAATCGTGCCTTCGTAGAAGATATGTAAATTCCACCTGTTTTGTATCGAATGGCTACAGTTGTTCACAGTACATTCTTGTAGTAGTTTTGTATTTGACGTGTTCGGAAAGTGTTTCGATAAATGCATCGTAGACTATATATTATCCACATGTGTGGCTGCAAGGTTTGTTCGGGGTGGTGACTACCTGGTTCATTGTGCCAAGAATGAAATGATTGTTGGAGATTTCGGGAGGGGTGACATCACGGAGTGCGTATTTAGTATCATATGATGAGGCTCTTTTTTCTGCAGACTAGCCTAACCGGTCTGTTGTGGTGTAGGCGAGATGCATACATCTTGTATGGTTAACAAAATAAAGCGGACTACTTCGCCGATTACCGGTTCGAAAATACCGGTTAAAATTGAACGCACCCGGAGGGACGCATGTAAGCCATGCACCCGTGCCAATCACAGGCCGAGAAACACCCCAGGATGTGAGATCGACAAGGAGTTTGCTCCCGCGACCACACGTGTGTATGAACGTGCTTCTCAGGTGGTGGCTCTTGTGATTTTTGAGCAACCGGTGCGATGGCTCTGTGGATTGGGAAACGAACGTAACGGACGCACGTGCCCGAACCCGCACAGCAGTAGCCCGTGTTTTTTCGCGCGTGTTGTCTGAAGTTGACGAGGAACCAAACTGCACATTTTTTATTTTTTTGTTGTCTCCCATCATTGGACTCTGTCGTCTGCCCCTCTGGCCCGTATCCTCCAGATCTACCAGCTAGACGACCCAACCGGGGTCACATAGGAGGGGGGGGTAGGACCCCCTCCTACGGTTCCTGCCTGAAATATTTTCATTGCGAGAAGGGTACAGCAATCCCTTCCCTCGCGACTTATTTAGTTGATCAAGTTTACGAACAACGAGCTTTGCAGCGCGTCGCTTCCAACGGAGTGTAACTGCAGGACCCATCCCTCAGGAACATGGAAGAGGACAAACTGCTGCTGAATTAATGAAAGTTTTGTGGTTATTATCGTTTCAAATCGAAACGAGGCAATACACCACGGCCACGGGGAGCAGTTACTGCTGTGAACGTGAACCCGGATGGGTCGTCCGTTGTGCGGTTGTACTACTGTGTGCTGTATGGACATGCAGCAGTCCAAACGCAACCAATTGCCCCGCATCTTGTAGTTCACACCACACAGCACACAGCACCCCGCTGCTGTGCGTACACCGGCCGAGGAGTGCGCGTCAGCAGATCCCAGGACCTTTCTGCAAGTACTTCGTGTCCCCACACTTTTCGATGAGAAGGCGTCACAATGCAGCAGTTGGGGAGTCGTTTCGCTCTCGAACGGAGAAAGGGCAGCTGCTCTCAATGCACCGCGCATATGCTGCCGCCATCCTGCTCTGCTACACTCTTGTCTGCTGTGCTGGCTGTACGCTCAAGGCTATCGACCTCCCTGGCCGGCTGATGCATCTCTCCGCCTCTACCAATGGCGTTGAGCTGAAACTCCATAGTTTACCAGGACAACAAAGCGAGGAGAAGAGGAAAAAACCACCCTGCCCGCAGTGCTCAAGAGCAACGGGGGCAAGACCAAGCAAAGAGGTGGCACCAGTAGCACTGCTGTACTGCTGTAGATTGAGTTTCCCACGGACACTCGGATACAAATAACCATGGGCGTAGATATTATCTCCCTAGTGTCGCTCATATATCAGGCCGGCGGTGCCGTCATCTACCAGTGCAAGCTCGTCAAGCAGTGTCCCGGGCAGGCCGCACGCCTCGCGATACGGACGCAGAACGTCCTGGGGTTGCTGAGTTCGGCAGCGGAACAATTCGAGGGCAATGTGGCTCTTGAGACGAGCCTGCTGGAGCTCCGAAACGTGCTGCTGCGGGTTATCCAGCTGGTCGAACGGTGCAAGCAGCCTGCGCGGTTCTCGGCAAAGGTGCACAGACGAAAAGTCCTGGCGAGATCGCCACGAAAATCTTTCGTGTGTTGTTAAATAATTTAGCTTCAACTCAACCGCGTGAGGATCCATCTTCATACAAACACCGTTTTCGCGTTTCCTTGCAGAGTGCAAAACCGTTTTTTGTGTAGACATATCGGTTGTTGCTGTCTGTGCGTGTGTCGGCGGTCGAGTCTGGCCGTATCGATGAAGGTGACATTTGCGCTGCTGTTGCGACACGTTTGGTCTCGTGTCAAGGCGTTATTTTTTCTCCCATCTCCCCCTCTCCGTGCAGTGCCTCATGTCTCATTCGATCCCAATTTTTTCGTCCGTCAGCGCAATTGAGATCAGGTGACAGGTATTCCGGCATGAAGGTTACAAAAGGGTAACGTTTTCCTTCTCACCATTACCCCTTCACTGACCAAGTTTTTTTTAGCCTGAGGCTCTCGTTCAGTGTTTGGCAGCACGACTCTCGATTTCGAAGTTCGTGTCGGCCTGTTGTTGCCTTGAATCAAAACCAGGTGCTTCGCGTTTTTCGCATCAAGGCCACCAAAGAAGCCCTCGTGGGAGCTGAGGCGGACCTCGAGCGCGTCACGCGAGACCTCCGCCTACCGTTGCTGACGGACATCAAACGCCAGCTTGGCGAGATCAAAGATCACGTCGTGAACGATCCTCAGCAAGACAGGGCTGCTGCTGCCGTTATAACCGCCGCCGCCACGGCTAACGGCGACCAACAACAACAACAAGCGGCGGCGGCAGCGGCAGCCGCGACCGCGTTGAAGAGCCAGGGTCGGGACGCGGACCCGCTGGACTGCGCGGATGAAGCGCTGATACAGAAGGCGAGAGACGCAATCGACCGAGGGATGATGGCCCGCAGCACGAACGGCTCTACCGTCGGAGAGGTCATCCGCGGGGAAATCGCGAAGTCGGGCGTAGTGAGCCCCCTCACAGAGACCGGCGGCGGCAACCACGGCGCCGGTGGCGGCGATGCCGATCGCACCGCCGGCAGTCTCATCGTCCACGTAAAGCGCGTCCGATTCGAGGCCCTGGAGGAAGAGGAGCAACTAGGCCTGGGAACGTTCGGTGTTGTGCTGGCGGCGAGGTACTTTGGCCGCGACGTGGCCGTCAAGAAGGCCCGGGCTGCCTGCACCAGCCGGACACTCGAGGATTTCCGGTGCGTCGTGGGTCTGTGTGTGTCGTGATGCTGTTGGCGTTCGTGGTACTGCTGTACTTGTTTTTATCGTCGTGTTTCGGGGGCTAGCCTCCAGGTTGAAGAAGGGCAAGAGGAGGAAGAAGGGACCTGTAGATGACTTTGAGGAGCCAATTGGCGTACCATGAACGCATCTCATCTCCGATAGTTGATACAAGCGGAATACTGGATGAAAACGTCCTATTTACTATGGCGACAGTCCTCCCATTTTTCGTGGTGAGACGTGCAATACACTTTTCAGCGTATGTAGAGTGCTACACTTGTTAGTGTTTTTTTTCGTACAACTACAACCATCCAGGGTCACACAGGAGGGGGTAGTAAACACCAGGGCTCTTTTTTCTTCTTTTTATTTCTTTTCATGCCCCACCATCCGCCTGCGGTGCGTGCTGAATTGTATTTTTATCGCGAGAAGGGTTCAGCCGTCCCTTTCCCTCGTCAACGGTGCTAACATCGAAGTTTGGTACTAGCGAGAGCTTGTCAGCTATATTTCGCTTTCGCCCGCACATTTCGTAAAAATTTCACCTCGTGAGGATTCGAACTCACGACCTCTGCAACTATTATAGCGGATTACGAGGATACCACTAGACCACCGGGGTGACCGGTGATTAATTCCTGTCGAAGGAAGATGTGTCACAGGCCTAAGTCCTTCGACTCCTTCTGGCCTGGGTGGGAGAGGCCAAACGCGTTGAATTTTCTCGGAAACGTCAAGAAAGTCAAGTGCACGGACCGGTTGATATGTTGCATGACGTTACATCCTACCCAAGTGTGTAGATTTTATTATTTCGAAGGCGATATTTGATGGTATGCCGTGCTGTGCTTTACAACCTACGGTAGGCAACTGGAGGGAAGCTAAAATTGAGTTTGAGGCAGGCCTTACAAACAGGCGACGCCATATGCGTATGACACTTCGTCTCTCGTCGCAGGCAAGAGGCCGAACTTCACTTCGCGATGCGCCACGACAACATCGTCGAAGTCATCGCCTTCAGCGTTGGGGACGCGGTCCACCCCCCTTGCCTGGTCATGGAGAGGATGGACGAGTCGCTCTATGAACTGCTGAGCCTGCAGCTCAGCATCAACTTCCCCTGGGCCCTCGGAATAATACACGATGTGTGCAAGGTAAAACTTTAACTGTGGTCATTTTCAGTAAACTCGAATACCCTGCATCAGAAATCTCCTCCCCCGAATATTGCTCAACTGCTTGCTGACCGACGGTCAAACGCAAATACATGCCCGCAATCTTGAGCGTAGTGTGGTTGCTATTGATGCCGCCGCCGCTGTTGCCGGTGGTTTTCCAGGCCCTTTACTTTCTGCACACACATAACATTGTGCATAGACATTAAGAGCCTCAACGTCTTGCTAGACGCAGAAGGCACGGCCAAGCTTTCAGACTTTGGCCTCGCCCAAGTGAGCTCGACCGTCAACAAGGACACCGGCGGCACATACCACAGCAAGGTACCGCAATGAGTACCCCTAATATCGTTTTCCTCTTCTCGACAACAACTTTCTGTGGAGTGCCTGCACTTCCGAACAGCATCGTGTTCCGCGCCCGATTTCTGTTGTTGTTCTCGCAGAAGCGTAGGCTAGAAGGTGGGGGCGTTTTCGTCGCACAGCACATCAGCGCTCTTCGCAACGTGTTCCCCTCCCCACCTCCCGTCTCTCTCTCTCTCTGTCTCTCTCTCTGTCTCTCTCTCTGTCTCTCTCTCTCTCTCTCTCTCTCTCTCTCTCTCCCCTGGGTGTTGGTGTTCGAAGGTTGGTTCGGACTTTTGGATGGCGCCGGAGGTCCACGTGCATCGGAAGGCCACCGCGCTGTCGGACATCTTCAGCCTGCACGTCGTCATGTGGGAGGTGAGCTTCTTTCTTTTAAATGTTTGTTTTGTTGGGTTTTTCATTTGGTTCCTTGCGAGAGCGAGCGCACTCCGGTAGGCTCAAAGCAGTCACGAACCCCCCTCCTTACGGCAAAGTGAACAAGGAGCCAGAATCGAAGCAACCTCTACCGGAACAGTTGGCCTGCTAGCATCTCCGATTGCAAGGAAGTAAGTCGACCCAAAGCAGAAGGTCACCGCGGAATGCCCCCATCCTCACCTGCTATTCATAGCGCGGTTGCATCAATCATGAAGAAACTCGGGTCGGATGCCCCGAAAAACGAATCGAAATCAGGTAATCACGAACCAGAAGGCGGGCATCGGTCCTCCTGTTGGAGAGCTCCTCCTCCGAGCTCCCAACGCCAGGCTTTCCCTCGAGAGCGCTTCTGGTCCGGCGCCTCTCATTGAGCGCATGCAAGACCTGCTCGACCGTTGCGGTTCTCTCCACGACAAGAACAGGCCGACGATGAAGGTAATCGCCCCCGAGATTGCGGCCTTGTGCAAGGCCGCCGGTCAGGAAGACATCAGTCACCGAGATAGCGCAGTTGTTGAAGAAGGGGCTGAGGAAAAAGAGCAGCAAGGGCAGCGCCAACATCAGCAGCAGCAGCAGCAGCAGCAGCAGCAGGAGCAACACCAACAGCAACATCAGCAGCAGCAGCAACAACAGCAACAACAACAACCAGGGGTGGGGGAAGTGGCGGGCTGCACGAGGCAACCCGAGCAGTCAGTAGCTGCTGATGAACAGCTGGAGGCGGCGAGAGCATTGCATTTGCCGTCCTTGCACTCCTATCATGGAAAGTCTCAGGGAGGAGCTGGTTCGGGCGCAGCTGGTAGCTCGGCCGATCCCGACAATTTTGACCACTTCGGCAATGGCGCTATTGGCGGCGGCAGCGGCAGCGTAGAAGTTGGTGGTGGTGGTGGTGGTGGTGGTGGTGCTGCTGCTGCTGCTGCTGCTGCTGCTGCCACAAGAAGCAGGATGTCCCCTCGCGCAACTGCTGTGGCCATGCGGCGGCAACAATCAGCAGCGGACGCTCCCAGCAGTTCAACCGGGAACTTCACAAGTCGCCACAGCGGCAAACGGAGCCGGCAGGACAGCGATGGGCGAGAATCCGCTGAAGGTGCTCATGCCACCGCTGCTACTGCTGCCGCCGTTGCTGGAGGAGACTGGAGGTCTTTCCCTACAACCGCTGCAGCCCTCCTAGCACCGTCCGACGCCGATAGCGGCGCGGAGGGAGACTGGCAATCGCTATCATCGCCCACGTTGCTCGCCCTGCAAAAACAGCAACAGCAGCAGCAGCAGCAGCAGCAACAACAGTCGGCCGCCGTAGGGCAGAGTACCTCCGCCACGGGGCGCAGCCACGACTACGGTGTACAGCAGCGCAACCGAAACAGCCGCCAATACGGCATGCAGCCTGGCAGACGAGACCGGGGGCCTGTAGCAGCGGCTGCGATGGCCTTACGGCAGCAACCGACCATGGCAGCTAGTAGCCCTGTCAGCTACAGCGAAAGCCGAAAGCTTCCACGACTGCGGGGAGCGGCATGAGTGGGAAGACAGCAGCCTCTCCGCGGATGATTTGGGGATGTTTTCACCTCCTGCTATGTCCACCCAACAGCAGCATCAATCGGCAGCGATCCCCAACTTCGCGGCGGTCGGTTACGGCAACCACCACCACAGCCAATACCACAACCAAATCTACAGCGAGCGGAGCGGGCGAGACCACGCAGGCGCGGGCTGTACCACCCACAACTGGGCGCCACAAATTTCTGGTTGCGACGCTCTTGTTCAGCAACAGCAGCAGCCTTTTGTCAAACATATCCCTGAAGCCCACGCCAATCGCGTCTCCGTCGAATTGAGCGAGACAGGCACACGCCACCCGGGAGATTTCGGCGGTTTCAACCGCACAGGTGACGGCATCACACAAGAAGGTGGTGTGACTGCGCGGGGCACCTGGCAGACTCCGGGCTCGTTCTCGACCAGGCGGCAGCGGTCGGGATCTTCTAGAACCCCCCCCGGCTACGGCTTCGTTCGGCCACCAGCCCACCCGGCAGCCGTCAGGCGGGGGTTCCGTGAGAATGCCGGTGGTGCAACGCCGGAGGCCGCCACGCCCCAGCCACCCCCACCCCCGCCGCCTTCCTCGTCCAGCAGCCCGGCCACCCAAGGCGACGACAGCCACGACTGCGTCGAGCTAGGCCTGTCCACGTTCGGCTCAGGCGTGGGGTACCCGGACTTTCTGGGTCGACAGAATCGGCCGCCGAGCAGCTCGGCGTCAACAGTCAGCAGCTCGTTTCGCGACGGGAAGGAGAGCGGCGGCAGCACCGGCGGGAGTGCCCACGGAGGAACGACGCCCGACTTGAGCAGCACCAGTCGGGAAACCGTGGTCCACGGCTACGCTCAGTCTCGTTGGAGCAAGAGGGCCGCCATCGCCGCGGCCAGGAAGCACAAAAATGCAAAGGCGAGGGTTGGCGCCACGATCGGTGGCAAGACGGGTATTCCCGGCAGGACGGTCGCCGAGGTGTCCTCCGGCACAGCGCCTGCAGTGGCGCCGGCGACGCGCAACACGCAGCAGGCGATCCGGAGAACCCCCGACACGGGGCCCCTGACCGCCTTCAACCTCATGGCCGCGACCCCTTCGAAGGAGGAGGCAGCGACGATTAAAGCAACAACCCCGACTGGCAGCAGCGGTGATAACGTCAACAGCAGTCACCCGAGAAATCCCGTCTCTGCTAACAGCCATGCTCATGGCGGCGGTGTTGGCCGGACTTTTGGAAGGGACATCCCGCACTCGGCGTCCGGGGACTCTGACGCCGGATCGTATAACGGTGTCGGCGATGAAATTAACGAACACGAAACGGAGAAGGGGAAGGCGGAAGCTGCGGGGCCAGCTCCGACAATGCGGGGCGAAACAGCGGAGGACGACGAGGACCACACGCACCAGGCGCCCAAGGAAGACGGCCTGTGGGCGGGAGGACTGGGGCTGGGCACTGCAGAGGAAGCGGCTCGCTTGGACAGCGTCGAGTACCAGCACCAGGTGACAAAGTGGTGCCGGTCAGTAGGCGTTGGCTGGGCCCCTTTCTGTTATACATGGGGGCGTCGGGTATTGATAAGGTACCCAAAGATCTGCGATAGAGCTAACTAGCCATCCGAGTTGAACAGAATCGTATCAAACATACCCGGTCTGTCACGCTTCTTTTTTGCAGAAGCGTGAACAGCAGCAGGAGGAGGAGGCCAACGAACAGCAGAAGGCAGAACAAGGCGCGGCGGTGGAAGGGGAGGGGCAAGAGGAACAGGAACGCGTGGACGACTACCCGTTTCCGACGTCCGGCGAAGAGAAGGAGGGGCAGCGCGTCACCACCCACGACCGCGCTGTGCTCATGATCCTCTTCGAGGTGTGGAAGGGCCCCGCCTGGAACGGCAACGCCAACTGGGGGTCTGACGCTCCCGTCGAGTGGTGGTACAACGTTTCGGTGAGTGCCCTACGGTTTCCTGCGAAGCACCCTTGAGTTGACCCTTGCACATCGTCGTACGGTTGTGGGTCCTCTACTGGGCGGGTTACGTACGGCGGGTGGCCACATCAGTACTACCGGGAGGGTGAAATCTTTTGGCGCAGATGGCAAAGTTAGTTTGTTTTTGGCTTTGAACTGGTAGCCTTTACTTGCTACATGCCCGAAGATTGTCTTGATGAACTTCCGATGCCACTGACAAACGAATAAACCCCAGGTCGATCGAGGCCGCGTGACCGAGCTCATTCTCCCTAGGAACAACATATCTGGTTAGACTGAGCGATAGTTAAGTTTTATCGGACAGTTTCTCCAAGCCCGCGGTTCGCCTGTGCACTGGTCGACAACACCCGCCGACCGCGCTTTCATACGGCGTTCCGTTTTTTCGTTTTCGTGGTGGTGGGCTGGAATGTGAGAAGTGGGCTCAGGTTCCATTTTATCTCCGTTTCCAAACGCTGGTGCGGTAGAAGGGCAGGATGGATTCGTGTGTCGAGCTTCGGTTATTGTTCCATTGTTGTTTTTGTTGGTGGTGGTGGCGGGTGTTGGGCTTGGTGTCGTTCATGGTGCAAAGTCTTCGGATTCGATGCTGCTGGTGTAGGCTTCGCCGTATTCCTGGCTGTGTGTGCCCTCCGCCAGCAACCCACCGTCCTACCCGTCCCGCACATCGCGTGATCCACCGCTGTCTAGGCGAAATTCCGCCGGGACTGGGAATGCTCTCCTTCCTTCAGGAGCTCCGTCTACACCGAAATTCTCTCAGGGGTAATTCGCTGGTGGTAGGTTCCGAAACGAGAGCGGTACACGGGTCACAAACGATGCCATGTCAATCCAAATTCTTTGGCGCGATACTGGGTGTGCCCCGAAAAAAGTGCCTCGGCCCCCATCCGCTGCCTTTCTGACGTCGACACGGAATCTTCGCACACAAATGCCGAAATATGCCTATGCACGCGACCCTTGACTTTGACCCCTATCTTTCCCGCTGCACCGCCCTCCTCGTCCTGGCTCCGGCCTAGGTCTGATTCCTTCCGCAATCGGGGGCCTCAGTTCATTGTACCACCTCGACCTTCACGGCAACAACCTTTGCGGTGAGGGAAAAAGAAGTAAAAAAAACAACACTGCTAGCCTGTGCTGAGTGAAAGAGGAGCTGCAGATAGCCTCGGACTGCCTTGTCTTTCCTCTCCCGCTGCCCATGTCTGTGTCGGCCTCTAGCACTTAGTACAAAGTCCGACGAGCATGTAGTTCCGAACCTTCCCCTAGTTTCGTTGCTGGCACCACATTCTGTCCGGAACTCGGCCATCTTTCGCTTCGAGGAGGTGCCAGGGCTGGGCGACGCATATCTCTCTAGCAATCGAACGCGGTGTTCTTGTAGGTGGAAAGCGATTGGACTTCGGGTAGGCAGACTTCAATATTCACAATGCCTGCCATCAAATTCTGGATAGCTCTGTTGATGCGCCCCCCCCATGCTGGAGACGGAGGGTCTACAGGGGTTCAAGGAGAAGATATCTGTTGATTGTGCCGAGAGAGAAGAACAGAATCTAAGGAAAGAATCCAAGGATAAGGAGGGTCTAGAAGCTTAAGGAATGTTGAAGGAAGGAATAGGGTTCAAGGATTACCTACATGGGCCAATGGATGCAGGAACAAAGCTTAAGGTCAAACTCAGGACCGGGGACATAGGCCTTCGAGAACGTCGACGAAGACACAGGACGGTAGACAACGAAGACGACATGTGCAAATGTGATTGCGGCTTCGAATGCGAAGACCGTGTTCATGTAGTCGCGGAATGTCCGTTGTACAAGAAGGACAGGGAAGTGTACGTGACTGAGCTGGGAAAAATAGATGGAACGTACAGGGAGATGTTTGAGGCATGGAATAGAGAGGAAAGGACGGTAGCTGTACTGGGGCATAGGAGGTGGGTTGAAAAGGCGGGAAGGGATATCGTTAGGATAGACAGACTAGGGAAGACATTTTTGAGCCACCTTTGGTAAAGTAGGAAGGAACGATTGGCCATCGGTGATCGGTCCTGTGGGAACAATGCTCCGTCCTCTCGAGGACGCGTGGTCAATGGTCTAACCGCTAAGACATGCAAAACATAAGAGTACGCCCCCCCCCC